GTGGGTGTGTCTACTCTCTGTGGGTGCATCTCTACTCTGTGGGTGTGTCTACTCTCTGTGGGTGCATCTCTACTTGGTGGGTGTGTCTATTCTCTGTGGGTGCATCTCTACTCGGTGGGCGTGTCTACTCTCTGTGGGTGCAACTCTACTCGGTGGGTGTGTCTACTCTCTGTGGGTTCCTCTCTACTTTGTGGGTGTCTACTTTCTGTGGGTGCATCTCTACTCTGTGGGTGTGTACTCTCTGTGGGTGCCTCTCTACTGGGTGGGTGTGTCAATTCTCTGTGGGTGTATCTCTACTCCGTGGGTGTGTCTACTCTCTGTGGGTGCATCTCTACTCGGTGGGTGTGTCTATTCTCTGTGGGTGCATCTCTACTCGGTGGGCGTGTCTACTCTCTGTGGGTGCCTCTGTACTCGGTGGGTGTGTCTACTCTCTGTGGGTGCCCCTCTACTGGAGGATGTTTGTCATAACACTCAAGCTAACACAAAGGGTCTGTCTTGAGGCAGAGAAAACCAACTGCTCTGTTGCCGAAGAAAAATCTGGTCTGAAGTCAATGCGGCAGTTATTTTAAGGGCACATTATCAAGATACTAACATGCTCCTACATAGTCTACAATATTCATCAGAATTAGCTAATTGCCGTAATGATGGATGAAATTTGCTAATTATTACAGTGGGACCCCCATGTCTGCAGTTTACCACGGTCCGAAAAAAAAAACAGTTCAAGAATTCCGGAAATAGTTTGTAAGTTTCAAACCATGTGCCAAGAGAGTACTATAAACCAATAAACACTCACAATAGGATGAGATATTTTAAATCTCCATTCAATACATCCGGAATAGTAGACATTGTTCTACTTTATCCATTCAGGGGTATAAAAAACATATTTTTCATTGCTGCGTCTTTTCCGTTGCTATATCTTTTCTTGAGAATTAGGCTAAAAGTGAGAGACCATTTCATTTAAGAGATTACAGTACTGTATAATGATGTATAATGTACTATTTTGTATTATTTGACTGTATTTAAATTTGGTAATGTCTATCTGTGCACAATTTATCAATTATACTTTACTATATGTAAGTACTCTGTATGAAAATCACATTATATATTGGGTCCGTGGACGCTTGGCTGTTTTCTGTGGTTTCAGCTTTTATAATAGCAATCCGCCAAAGTGCAAGCACACCTGGCTTTTGAAGGGAATGGGTGATGACCCTCTGACTGGTTTATAGCATGTTATGCCCCAAACACACCCATGACTATTTATCAGACTTAGTACAACCCCTTTTGGCCATGTGCCTGATGCTATGACTATTTTTCCACTGTTAAACTAGCAAAAGTGGGTTGGCTACACCATTAAGATCACTGGCTGCACTTAAGATCATTAAAATAGAGCCTAAATATGTAATGTTCTAAAAGTGTTTTTCACATTTTTGCCTTGCAGGAAAAGGGAAACATTGGTGTCATCTTCAATGTTGGCACTGATGACATCTCTATCAAAGAGACAAGCAAGTTTGTGAACGACGGGAAGTACCACATTGTGCGCTTTACCAGGAGTGGTGGCAATGCCACCTTGCAGCTAGATGAGCTGCCTGTGATGGAGCATTACCCTACAGGTGAGGCTCCATCCCAACAAGTACTACATGAATGAATGTCAAGGAAATATGCTACCTATCTGCTGAGAAGTGCTTTTGTAAAGTGTGAAAGCGTTCATACAGGACAATAGCTTACTTGTCTATTTAAAGGGCTTAAAGGCTTTGACAAAAGCTTTGACTCACTTGAAAGTTATAACTGTTTTGAGACAGGGAATTTTTGTGGCAGAGCTAAGAGTATCTGTGCAAATAATACAGAAGTACATTTTGTGCTGCTCTCTGACACTTGCCATCAACTCTCATAATAAAATTTATTCATAGAATTAATGGTACAGTAACACTTTACTTGAAGCAGTCTACATAACGGTGACATGTAACCATCATAAGAATGACATGACACATGTCATGCACATTAATGACACATTATTGATGTTTATAACTGTTGTCATAAACATCACTGTTGTCATAATGTGTCATTCGGTTTTTGGAACTGAATAACACATTATGACAACAGTCATAAACATCAATAATGTGTCTTTAATGTGCATGACATGTGTCACGTCATTCTTATGATGGTTACATGTCACCCTTATGTAGACTGCTTCAAGTAAAGTGTTGCTGAATTAACTAACTCAACAAAAATACAAATTTGATCAAAATTAAAATAAAATGTTTTCATAAACATGCATTTATTTGTGCCTTTCAGGAGTCTCTGTATATGGGGCACATTATTTTGAAAACAGATTTATGAATAAAATCTCTCCTAAAGGAGAAGATCAAAGCAGATTATACTAGAGGATTCCTGGACAGGAGGGAGGACAAATTGGACAGGTTGAAGAAGAATTTTTATCTTTGGCTGTAGTAATTCTGAAAGGAAAAATACTCCCAACTTTGAATTCCATCTTTCTGTCTTCCTCTAGCTAGTAAAAGTTCTCAGTCAACCTGGAGCCTCTCTTGGGAATGGGGCAGGGTATACCCAGGGTAGGATGCCAGGAATGAGGCAGCGTGTACCCCGGACAGGATGCTGGGAATGGGGCAGGGTACACCCAGGACAGGATGCCGGGAATGAGGCAGGATGTACCCAGGGTAGGATTTCGGGAATGAGGCAGGATACACCCAGGACAGGATGCCCATTCATCAATAATTATATTGCAATTATAACACATGATCTCCAATATATAGAGAACTCCTCAAATACTGACTGCGGGGAAAAACAATAGAATGAAGCTAGAGTGCAAATTATCTGTTCACATGAATGAATTCTGCAGCCTCCATGGCCTTTTAGACTATCCAGCTGCACCTAAATAAGCCTACATGGACATTCAGACAACTGAATTATACCCACATAATTCTATGTGTGGCTTCATATGACATATATCAGTACTTCAATAACGGAGGAAAAGCATACCACACACACACGCACACACACACACACCGCTGACTCCAAATCAAAGGAAGGACACCCACAATGCTGTTTACATAAGCTAACATAACATCGAAACAGAGACTAGAATAGCTTGTGTGTGCAGGGAACATTTTTAGTCAAAAAGGATAGATCTACAGTATGTAAAATATATAAGTGTAAAAATATAAAATATAAGTGTAGCTTCAGCTGTTATCATTCAAGGTAATTTTCTTCAAAGATAAGCTCAGATCTTCCAGGCAAGTAACTTCTTCCTCATTAGTCTATATTAGTCTTTGAATCAAATTACTTTAAAGCCCTGTTTGTTTTTCTTTATTGTTTATATTGGGCATCACCCAAGTAATTTATGGAATCAAGGGTTTTCCTTTCTCACCTCTTTCTGTTTCTCTGTATTCACATGTAGATGGTCAACAGAGTCAGTGCTGTAATTCTAATCTGAAACTGATTCTTATGAAGCCCCTGAAGGGACCTGTACAAAAAAATAAAATGCTCTTACTTTCATCTGTGCACATGATACTTTGTACGCACAAGACTTTAGTGTGTGCACGTGATAGTAAGAGCATTTTACTTTTTTGCACAGCTCCCTTCAGGAGCTTTGTAAGAATCAGTTTCAGATTAAAATTACATATTTCACAAATATATGTTTAAATTGAATTTTCTTTGTTTCAGTTTTTGTCAAAGCCAAAGTAGCCTCTTTAATTCTTAGGATAGCTCTCAGTGTTTTCTGTGTGAGTTACTCTTTCAACCAGCTAACAAGTTGAATCTCCCTTTTTCTCATAACGATGAATGGCCTGTGAGAATGACTGTGAATGGAAACGTGCTTTCCCCATTATAAACAAAAAAGGGTGGAATGCATTTTGAGATACAATAAATATCAAGTGCGATTTACACAAAATAGAATAAAGTTTTTTCCAAAAAAAAACTTAAAAAGAAAGATACCTTGAAAGTTTATCTGTAAGGCGCTTCTTCTTTTAAGGTGGTTTTTGTTTTGTTTTATACCTCAGGTTTATTAACATAGATATTGGTTTAACTTACTAATATTCTATTAATATAGGATTAATTTTGTTAATAAAATAATTAAAAATAGGTGTTTGAGTGAAAAGTTTGATAAGAGAAATGTTGTAGATGGAATTTTTTAAATTTTCAAAACAGAAAACAATATGTGGCAATTGTATAGTTTAAGTATTATGACTTAACATTTGATCTTACATATTTTAACCAATGAAATGTCTCTTTAAACTTTAAAGGCAACATTGATAACGAACGCCTGGCGATTGCTAGACAGCGAATCCCATATCGACTCGGTCGAGTAGTTGACGAATGGCTACTCGACAAAGGTAAAAACACATTAAAATTTCAAATAAAATTAATTTGAACATAAAAGACTCAAAGTTTGCATCACCGATAAACCTCCAAAATAAATTATGAGTAAAATTAAACAATAAAAATGGAAATCAAAATATAGTTTGAAATACTGGCACTTTGTTGTAACGTTGTGCTAAATTGTAATGATGCACCGTATGTTAAATATAATTCCATATAAAGTTCAGGTTAAAGGGACTGTAAGTAAATGCAAACCTAAGTAAAGCAAGTACAACTATACATATGTGTACACACACGCACACACATATATATGTGTGTATGTGTGTATCTATGCATACATATGTGCATTCTTTCCTTAATTTTTTTTTAAATCCTGTTGAACACAATTTGACATACAGCTTTTATGCATTTATGTGCTGTTTTTTTATTATGAATTGTGGAAAACCACGCATTTTAAAATTTGTAACACTCACATATAGAATGGAAAATATGTACGGTATTGACTAGAGAAACAAAGTCCCTTTAACACCAATTTAAATACATTATGGAAATTACTGACAATTAAGAGGACAGTTAAGACATATTTGAGTACATACACATTAATATTATTAGTGCATGTCTCTCTGTGTGTGCTAAAGTAATCTTTGAACTGGAATGACCAGTGTTTCATGATGAAGGTGATTGTTCATGAGCAGCATCATCACTCAGCCATTTTGTTCTATGTCACCATGACTCCATTTCATTCATCACCATAGAAACACAGGACTTGTGTTGTATGATGTCACAGTGATGTGTGATGTCACCAATTTGCTGTTATTATTTCACAGTTTGTTGTAGTTTATGGAATTTACACATTATTTTACTTTGATTATATTTTTATATATACACAGTCTAGAGGAAGTTAAGGAGTCATCAACACAGACCACCAAAAGCCTTAGCTGATTAGTTTTATGGGCAGTGTGAAATCTTTATTAATATTCATTTTAAACTAAAACAAATTCTACTGCAAGTCAGTGAAATAATTTCAGAAAGATACAACTACGTTCAAATAAAACCATGCTTATACTACCGTTCAAAAAGGTTTCAATAATTGAATTAATTAATGTAACCCTATTTTGTTTTTGGTATATCTAAATGTACACATACTCTTGTAGGCATCACAGAGGTGAAGCCCATATTTGCATAATGTGAAGGTTTAGCTTATCCTTTTAGCAAAACCATATTTATTAGCCAGCATTTCACAGGCATCTCATCATTAATAAGGTGATAAATGACTGTTGTCAACAGCAATGGTTACTTTATCATTCTCATTATACCAAGAACAAAAGTTCCTCTACTGCCATGATTATGTTACTTTTTCTAGATCCATCATTTGAAACTGAAATTCATACCTCCTACCTCTATGTGGCGATATATTGCAGGGCGACAACTCACCATCTTCAACAGTCAGAGCACCATAAAGGTGGGAGGCCTGGACCGTGACCGCCCATTCCAGGGCCAGCTTTCAGGCATGTACTACAATGGCCTCAAGGTGTTCAGCATGGCAGCTGAGGGAGACTCCAACATCAGGGTTCAGGGCAGTGTACGGCTTGTGGGAGACTCACCGGCCTCCAACACACCCCAGTCCAGTGCCGCAGGAAACCGTTCAGACAGCCACCCCTCCCTCACCGGGATGAGCACAACGACCGCCACCAACCGGAGAAACCAGCCTGCCCCGCGAGACCCTCAGCAGGTCAGATTTGCTTTCCTTACGGTCCGCATGCCTCTGACCTTCTCATGACCATCAGAGACCCCCAAGCAGGTCAGGTTGGCTCTCCTTATGGTCCTCATGCCTCTGACCTTCTCTTGACCGTCAGAGACCCCCATCAGTTCAGGTTGGCTCTCCTTATGTCTTCATGCCTCTGACCTTCTCTTGACCGTCAGAGACCCCCATCAGGTCAGGTTGGCTCTCCTTATAGTCCGCATGCCTCTGACCTTCTCATGACCGTCAGAGACCCCCAGCACTCCAGGTTGGCTTTCCTTACAGTCTGCATGCCTCTGACCTTCTCTTGACTGTCAGAGACCCCCAGCAGGTCAGATTGGCTTTCCTTACAGTCTGCATGCCTCTGACCTTCTCATGACCATCAGAGACCCCCAGCAGGTCAGGTTGGCTCTCCAGGTTGCTTCATCCTGTCTTATGTGGTTACCATTATAACATATCAGTGTGTAAGTGCAGGCTTGTCATCTGTGGATATGGACAACTTCTAAGTAAATCCTCTATTTCATTTTAAGTTTTTTAGATACCATGTGTTCATGAAGGTCTATATCACAGTTTCCAGCCTCAGTCCAAAACCATGTGCTTTGGTGAATCATTTAAAGTGTAGAATTGTGAGAATGTGTGACCTGCAATAGTCCAGCATGCCTTCTAAAGTCCCCATCTGTATGCCTTGTGCTTCCTGAAATGGGCAGGAGACCCGCCATGATCCGGAACTGGTTAAACAGATATGAAAGATAGATGGATGGATATTATGTAAGAATAACTAATGTTCTTCTGTGGAAAACTGGCCACCCCCATCAGCAATCACGGCAGTGGAGTAATTCTTGTAGTTATTGATTGCATTGCTAATTGAGTCTCAGGAATTCTTGCCTACTCATTAATCCAGAAGTGCTTCGATTCTGTGACATTTGAGGATTTATGAGCATTAACCACTCATTTAACATCTTGAAACAGAGTAGGTCTGGACTATACTTAGAATGGGACCTTTTACTGGATAAATGATATGGAAAGGAATAGTAACGCACGCATTACTGAACATGTACCAAGTAAAATATTGCTGAAAATTGATAAGTAGTGTCTTACTTTTTGCTGTAACGTAGTAATGTAATCCATTACTGTAACTCATTACTCTTGTAATGCGTTACTCCCAACACTGTTTATCATGTTCTGTTAGACATCGATGCGAGACAGAAAAAGTTTTTACTTGTCACTCTCTGTGCAAATGTCACATTCTGTGCGAGCTCCGGCGTGAGCATTTCACATATATTTTTCATGAATTCTGGACATACTAGGCATTGTACTTTTCTTTTGAGTGTCATATAAAGAGCTTATATGGTCTAGGTAAAACATGCAAGAGTCTTGGGTAGTGTTGGGCGGTATACCGGTTCATACCGAAAACCGTTTTTTAAATTATTGTTATGATATGAATTTTTCTTATACCACAGTACCGGTTTAAATACCCTACACAACATTCAGAAAGTGGCGCAGCTGGAAACTGTTTAGGGGGGGACCTTTTTCACTGCTGCACCGATAAAAATGTACTGCGAAGGATCACAAACGGAAGATATAGCTGATGCTGGAGTTGAAAATAATGAGACACTGGGGTTGTCAAAAAATCGATTCTCGGATTCTAATAGATATTAAAATTAGTATCTGATTAGATACTCATTTTCACCATTATTGATACCAACAGTGAGGTTTTTGCCTCATTCGCCACATTTCACACAGCACCACTACAGTGCAGGCACATGTGCACACATGCACACACACACACTCGCGCAGCCCCTTCCCTCCTCTCAATAGTCACTGAACGTACTCGCACTGGTTAACACACACATACCGAGTTGGCCGAACATGGCATATGCTGCAGGTGAAGGCACTTCGCAAGCTGCTTTAGTAAAAGAAAAGAAAAAAAACAGAAAAATACCATTTGGAAGTATTTTGCAGACGAGCATGGAAAGGCTAAGGATGTCGATAAGCCTCTATGCAAACAGTGCTACAAAGTTGTGGCAATGAAGTCAAGTAGCACATCAAACTTCGCGAAGCATCTTAAAGACCGACATCCCGGTCTTTATGAGAAATTTCGCAAGGTTAGTAAAGCTCGCGTTCCAGCCACACTTAACTGTTAAACACTTATCAAAAATGTTAACTTGGCTGGCGCACACCTTAACATTAGCCGCTTATCTATAAGCAATTAGCCAAAAACACGCTAGCCATATCATTAAGGTAGCGGATAGGCACAATAGCTAATATTAAAATTATATAGTTAATGTGGGAACAATGCAAAAACGTAAAACAAAAATGTGTCCTGTAAAAAGTGGCCCAGTCATAAAAACCGTCATATACTGTGAAACCGATGTAATTTTCAAAAATACCGTGATATAAATTTTTGGTCATACCGCCCATCTCTAGTCTTAGGCTATTTAAATACTTTTCCATTTGGGTTCGTAAAGTAACCTGTCTGCAGTTTTGGGGAAACTGGTTGCTTTTCAAGCTACTCTTAAAAGTAGTTAAGCTACAGCTAAGCTGCTCTTTTAAAAAGGTACATAAATACACTACAAGGTCCAGAGAAAATATAGCGGAGTACATTGAAGCTACTCTTTTAATAAGGTACATAAATACACTACAAGCTCCAGAGAAAATATAGCGGAGTACATTGAAGCTACTCTTTTAATAAGGTACATAAATTCACTACAAGCTCCAGAGAAAATGTGGCTGACTACATTGAAGCTACTCTTTTAATAAGGTACATAAATTCACTACAAGCTCCAGAGAAAATGTGGCTGACTGCATTGAAGCTACTCTTTTAATAAGGTCTGTACACTACAAGCCCGGGAGAAAATGTGGCTGAGTACACTGAAGCTACTCCAAGTGGAACACAATGTTGAAAGTAATATGAAAATCTATATTTTTTCTGAAGTGTATTTCATAACAATCACAATATAATTTCAAAAAGATTTTCTTTATTTGTAAACCAAGAATAGATCTGCACACTGACTCCAGTGTGAAAAAGAAGGGTTACGACAAAATAAAAAATGACAGATACAAATCTGTGCAAGAACAAAAGTGCTCCCATGCAATTTGATTAAGTAAAAAGATCTCAGATTGATTGCCTATCAAAAAAATTTCCAACTCTGTAGCAACCACACCCACAGTATTGAAGCATAAATTCCCTTGTCTGAAAGTGAAAAAAGGATATCAATCAAGTCAACATTTTCTGCATTTAGGTCAGCTAATTAATGTCCAACAATAGGCCAACAGATATCTACCATTAACATCAACCAAAGTTGTAACAGTCTACATATTTGTGTGGCACCATTTGGTGCATCATTTTCAGTTTGGCACGCACAATATAATGAAAGAATACATTTATTCACATAAGTGAAACTAATTAAGTGTTAGTTATGTACTGATCCCATGTTAGTTCATCATTAATCAGTCATAATGGTTCATGTACTACCAGTCAAAAGCTTGGACACACCTTTTCATTCAATGGTTTTTCTTTATTTTTATTGTTTTCTACATAGTAGATTAATATTGAAGACTTCAAGATATGTTGCATGAAACACATCCAACGTGCTAACTCATTTGAGACTACAAGTGATCCGAGTGTGTACGACTGAAGCAAGGAAACCTCTGCAAGTTAGTCTCCCTGTGGCATTTAAGGCACTTTTGCCAGTAAATTCAGACCAGGCTAAAAGCATAATTATTAGAGAGGTGTTTATCGCTACCGATATGTGACCATACTCAGCAGTCGAGAACACAGGATTTATGATTATGTTTGTTATGATGTTATATTTCTGATTTTTAAAATTTATTTTACATATTCATTTTTACAATGTGCAAATAAGTGGATTTGTTATTCACACACATACTTAGGCCTTCATACTTAGGCCTAGTAATAAATAATTTCAAAATAATTTCAGTTTTCCCTGCTGTACCGAAACTAAACTGAACCATGGAACCAAAACCAAGGTTTGTATTAAACCAAAACTTTTGTGTGCCGTTACAGTCCCTACAGTACTAGCTTCTCACCTGAATGTACAGCCTTAAATTGCTAGAATAGAATAGAATAGCCACTTTTATTGTCATTCAGAAATACACGGGATAGTGCACAACAGAACGAAATTTCGTTGCATTTTATGCTCACCATCGGCTTAGCAGAGTGTGTTTTATATATATATATATATATATAGAATATAAGTGGAATTAACATAGGTATATTAACTGCAGTATAGCAGCAAAAGAAAAACAGTGTACATCACCATATCAGCTGTTGGACGTCTTGGAAGGGGTGAATGTTTTGATTTTCTTAGCTTACACTCAAATGTGTTTTAGTTGTGAGTTTCAAAGTCATAAATGTAACCATGGATTCCTATATCTATCTTTGCTAAGGTTCATATCTGACCTGCCTGCTTCTCCAAGTCCAATTTCAGGCATTCAGCTGCCTAGTGCGTGATGTGATGCATTTGCACAATTGACATCGAGGGCGTTGTAGCCGCCCACACGTTCTGTGAATTCAACACCAATCAGAAATGATAGACTTGGAAATGGAAAGTACCAGTCATTGCAAAGAAAAAAAACAGTGTAACATTTTGCCACGTGACACAACTACTTGTGAAAAAAGTAGTTAGTTAATGGAGATATCCAAAATATCAGCAAGACTAAGAAGATGGTCATCATGAAGCACAAGGCTCTTCAAAGTCCCATTTTCCTTGCTGGGGATGCTGTGGACGGTGTCCGCAACTTAAGTATCCTACAGTAGGCCCTTAACCCTCAGCCACTTGGGCACCGGTACAGGTGCCTGCCCTTCACAGACAACTTACTCTACAAAATAGAGCAAGTTGAGGGGAGGCATAAAGACAGATCAATGAAGTGTCACTTATTATTATTACCACATGACCACAGAACACAATGTCACTCTATTCCCAAGAAACTGCTTCCTGTACAATTCTTTTGTTCATATATACCCTATG